CTTACTCAGTTAGTAGTAAAGCCATGCCGATAGTTCTTCTAATTTTGCAATTATTTATTTATTTATTTTTTACCATTTAACATTCACACATGATACAGGATAAGAAATACATGCTAACATTTTTTAAATCTGAAAAGAAAGCCAAAACATCTCATATAATGAAGTCAGTCTAAATATAATCTCACATATAATCAGTCAGTCTAAATATAGGAAAATTTTTATGAATGTATTTATCATGTTCTATGCTAATATAAGTTAAATATATAATATAAGGCTGCTGGGAAGAGAAACTTGCTAGCCCATTTTATAAACAGGGAGAAAATAAAACTATAGGTTAGGAACTCTGACCATTTAAGAATGTCAATATTTTTGTACTCTTTCAACTGAGTATGTGTGTGACCAAAGCAGATCAACAAAACAAAGATTTGTGTAAAAGTCAGGAGGTAGTTTTATCTTGCATATTAAGGAAAAGGGTCTCATAACATAGATAGGTGAAGGATTGAAGACAAAAGAATACGCCTAGTTTCCAAAGAATGAATAAAAACCACAAGAAGCAGATGGAGATAAAGAGACATAGGCTGAGGGCTCTTCCAGTTGTCATTTCCTAATTAATTAAGCACCTTAAAGAATAAAAAGGAATCTCAACTTTACTCATGCTTCTGTGTGCTTCCACCATTTGTAGATGTAATAGATGTAGGCAGGAGGTGGGCTTCAAACTTTATCAGTCTTACCTATCACTATAGAGCTGTCAACTCATGAAAGAGAAGATGTTGAGAGAATATACTTGCCAAAGAAACAGCTCATCAGCAAGTCCTGTCAGCTCTGCCTACAAACTAGATTCCTAATCTCTACAATAGTTCTCCAATCTTTCCCCTGGAATACTGACTCTAATTGTGTTTCTCTATTGTTAAATTTGTGCTACCACCAACCTCTTAAATATGTAAAACAGATCAAGTCACTCACCTATCCTAAACTCACTAAAGACTTCTCAATGTACTGATAATATAATTCAATTCCCTTCCACAACCTATAACTTCCTATGACTCCCCTCCCATGGCCTATTAGGCATACATAATCTGGCCCTTGTCTACCTCTCCAATTTCATCTTCCTTCAGCAACCCTGATACTCTCTATGCCGTCTAACCCGACAGGCCTTGATTTTTCCCTCTTTAGTAGGGACCAACTTCCTTTCTACCAGCTCAAACTCTTGGTATCCAATATTGTTTAACAGTCTTAGGCCATTTTCTGATCCTGAAATGCTTGACCCCAGCTGTTTCCATAGCTAACTCCTTGATATTCCGGAGCAACTCCAATGTTATCTGGTAGTCACTCCTGTAATCTTGTAGTCAATTTAAAGGAAACATACCACACACACAAGTATCACAACATCCTGTTACCTTGTTTTATTGTCTCCATTGATAGCTCTGCCTGAAATTATGTTACTCATTTATCTCCACTGTATAAAAAAAATCCATCTTGGTCCATTTTCTGCTGCTATAACATGATACATGAGACTGTGTAACTTAGATTAAGTTTATTAAGTTTATTGGTACATTAAGTTCATTGGTACATTTTAGGTATACAATATGATGACATTCATCATTGGGAACTTGTACCTTTATATGATGTATCTTGGTTCTTATTTTTTCCCCATTCCCCTGCCCTCCCTTCAACCCCTCCACCTTTCCCTATTTACAAAGACTTTGTTTCCATTTTTTCCTTTTTTCATATTTTTTTCCTTTCCCTTTTTTCCTTTCCCCTACCCCTCCCAATTCCCCTACCCATTTAGACCTTTACTTCCTATTTCACATTATCAATTATTATTTACTCTTTATACTTATGGAGGCTGGGAAGTCCAAAAGCATGGTGTAGGATCTTGTAAGGGCCTTCTGGCTGAATCGTAACATGACAGAATCACATGGCAAGAAAGAGGAATCATGTAAAATAAGGTCCATCTTCCACTTCTTATAAAGCTACTAATGCCATCACAGGAGGAAGGGGTCTTATGACCTAATCTAACCCTAATTACTTCCTAAAGGCCCCACCCCCAAATACTATCAATATATGAATGTTTCCAAGGAGATTATGTTTCCAACTTTTGGGGGACAAGTTCAAACCAACACATATCCTCCACCCTATCCCACAAAACATGTAGGTAAATTCCTTGGGAATTTAAACCCTGTCTTCCTTGTTCCTTGCTGAATTCCAAAAGCCTAGGACAATGTTTAGTTCCCAGGTGATACTCATTATTGGATGATAGAGTCCATCTATCCCAAACTTTTCCCAAACTTTGTTTATGCCACATATTTCCCTAGCATTTGCTCACTAGCACTTCTCTTTTCTTGTCTGTTCCCTTTTCTGAATTTCTTTTGGTCTTCACTTGGCTTATAGAAACAGAAAGGAATACAAAATAAATAACAACAAAGAAGAATGTTAAGGCTAAGAGAAACCCACTCAGCCTGGCAGTGGCACAAAAAGCCAAGCAAAGTGCTTCAGAACAAAAGTTCTTAGGGTCAATATTATTAGTGTAGCTCCAACAGGCAGTATCACAAGGAATTATGAAGAAGTGTGTCTGTGGCCTCAAAAAGTAACCATACGTTCTGTGGACACTCAGTGGTAGGCCACAGGATAAATAGCAAAGAAGGGTAGTATTACCAGATAGATAATCTAACCACTGAAAGCAATCTTTTAAAAATTTCACCCTGAAGCTGATTTTCAAGTAAAATCCCATTTCAATAGTTGATGAATAATGTTTAAGCCCATTGGTCTTTACAATTTTTAGCTTTAAATCTATAATAATAGCTACTATCATGTGGCAGCTACTGTGTTCTACATGGTGTCATAAGGTATATTACTGGAATTTATACATAAATACTGAACTTCATGTAGGTGCAGACATCAGGTATCATATTGGAATTTATAAATGAAAATACTGAACTTTATGTAAGTAAATGCAGACAACTGATAAAAGGCAACAGTTTGGAAATCAGATCTGTTACTAAGGTCTATGTTACTAAGGTCTATGTTACTAAGGTCTATGTTCTATGGAATCTATATCTCCTGCGAATTACAATTTAATAGAAGCAAAACCAATAAACAAAAATCTGAATTTGTAAATTAAGGAAAGGCATTTTTCTGTTGCGCGTTCTTCACTTTCTTTGATTAAGCCAGGTGTGGTGGCTCATGCCTCTAATTCCAGTACTCAGAAAGCTGAGGAAGGAGGATTGCCGGGAGTCTGAGGCCAAGTCTAAGGCCAGCCTGAACTACATAGTGAGACCCTGTCTCAAAAAAAAGAAAGAGACTGAGTGGGATTCCTTAGTGAACTTTGATAGTACATTTAAATAACAATGGCATGGCAACCTCCAAAAGCCAATCAATCTTAGGAATCTTTTTATAAAACATATTGGCACCTCTAAGAATCACCTAAGCTGTCTTACTATTTATAGGTCTAGCACCAATTTTGAAACTGAGCTGATAATCAAGATCTTATCACTTAGAGGAGTATCTTAAAAATGAAAATTCTAACCTTCACTCCCGTTCTTCCAGAATCTCTAGGGTCTGACCTCCAAAACAATTTTAAGCTCCCCAAGATGAATAACTAAGGTTCAGAACTATTGTCACCCTAAAGTCAGCATTCTACAAATAAATAAATTAAAGACCGGAACAGCAGGATCTTCCTCAAGTCACAAAGCTTGTTAAGTACCACAGTAAGCTAGAAAAATAATATCATCTTGACTCTCATTTGGTGCTTTCAACTGATTCAAGTTGTGTTTTGGTAAAACTGTACTTATTTCTGCTTTGCTACTTTGTGCTGTCAATTACTTACTACCTACCATCCTTGTGCAATTTATTCCCTCATCTTCAAGCTGGGAAGAATAATAGTGCCTACCTCTTAGGTGTTTCTATAAGGATTAAATAATATAACATTCATTATATAATGCACTTAACCCAGTGCCAGGAATAGTGAGTGCTCATTAGCTAGGTTATGTAACCCACTAAAAAAGTATGTCTATTTTAACTAGAGAGGACTTACTGAACCACTCCAATTACAAAATGTACAAGAAACCTATGTTTTGCTTTAGAAGTCCAACAGGACTTTAAATTCTGGGTTAAGTTTAGTCATGGTATCTAGTATCTTGTTTTTCCATTCATCATCTACTGCTGTTAAAAGTTCACTTCCACTTCGCAGAGAATACCCTGAGAAGTGAATTAACTTCACAAGAGTTTGCCTGGTTGTTGCACGCCAGTTTCTCCTGGGATGCCTCAGGATTCCCTAATAAATCTATCTCTCGGTGACAACCAGGAATCTGCATTTATAAAAGCTTCTTCCCTCTAAACAGGTGCTTTTTCAGGCAAACCATACTTGGTACCACTGATATACAGATTTTCTGACCACACCAAAGGGCCTCTCAAGTCCTTCCAACAAATAACTATCCTGCTCTGTAACCAAAAGAAGGCCGCGTCATCAGGCCCTGATGCAAACAACAGCTGGGCCAGAATGTCCTGAGTAACCCTCGCGGTCACCAGGGACGGATTCGACCACCTCACCTCCTAAAACAATTATGAAAGCGCCGTCCCGCAGTCCCTGTGGTAGACAGTACTGCTGGCGGCCACTAAAGCTAAGGTTGACTCAGTATTCTCCTTCGTCGGGACAAGAGCAAAGGAAGGCGACACTTAATGTCTGACCAGGCCGGAGCAGCAACACGAGGTTAAGGACCCTCTCGCCGGGTTCCTTTCAGAGACCAAGAACCTCCACTATTCCGCGGACCAGCTGCCGGAAGTGCGTCACCCAGCACGCTGGGCGTGCCGGGAGTTGTAGTTAAATGGCTGTTTCTCTTGCACTCCCCCAGTCACCTTTTGTTAAACAAGAAAACACCTGGGACTCCTGGTAACGGTCGCTTTGTGTCTAACAGGTCTAGTATCCCTTCCCTTGTCCGGTCGACAAAGCAAACTCTGGGTGCCCTGGGTGAACAGTGGACTACAAGTCCCGGCGTGCTCTGCAGCGCGCCCCGAGCGCCCGGCCACCGTCGTAGGTGCGGGCCGCCTGAATGGAGCTCTGGGAGTAAGGAAAAGCCTGGCACAATCCACGCGGCCGGTACCTGCTCCTGAGCGCTCCTGCGGGATTGGGCCGTGCGCGTGCGCGCTCAGAGGAGGCGCGGAGCGAAGGCGCCCGGCCCTTGTCGGCTTGTGGCCGCTGAGGTTGGTAACAGCGGCGGCCGAGCCGCGCCTCGGACCGTCAGGTACTTGCCGGGCCTCCCGCCTCTCCCGGGGCTGCGAGCAGCCGTGGCGGCCGCCGGGGACCGCAAGGGGCGGAAGAAAGGAGGAGGCCGGTCCCGGCACACGGAGGAACCGCCGAGCATGCCCCGAGACAACATGGCTTCCCTTATCCAACGGATAGCCCGCCAGGCTTGCCTCACCTTCCGGGGCACCGGGGGCGTCCACGGCGCTTCCGACCGCGGCGCGACGGCTGGCCCCGAGGCGCCGATGCCCCCCGGCTTCCCCGAGAACCTGAGCAAGCTGAAGGGCCTGCTGACCCAGGTCCGCGCCGAGGACCTCAACATCGCCCCGCGTAAGGCCACGCTGCAGCCGCTGCCTCCCAATCTGCCGCCGGTCACCTACATGCACATCTACGAGACGCCCGGCTTTAGCCTCGGCGTGTTCCTACTCAAGAGCGGCACGTCTATCCCGCTGCACGACCACCCTGGCATGCATGGTATCCTCAAGGTGCTCTACGGCACCGTCCGCATCAGCTGCATGGACAAGCTGGAAGCGGGCGGTGGGCAGCGTCCGAGGGCCCAGTCGCTCGAGCAGCAGTTCGACCCGCCGCTGCAGGCCCGGGAGCGGGAGGCCATGCGGCCAGGCATCCTGCGCTCTCGGGCCGAGTACACCGAAGCCAGTGGCCCCTGTGTTCTCACGCCGCACCGAGACAACCTGCACCAGATCGACGCCGTGGACGGACCCGCTGCCTTCCTGGACATCTTAGCCCCGCCCTACGACCCGGATGACGGCCGGGACTGCCACTATTACCGGGTGCTGGAGCCTGTCAGGCCCAAAGAGGCCTCCAGCTCGGCCTGTGACCTGCCCCGAGAGGTGTGGCTGCTGGAGACGCCGCAGGCCGATGACTTCTGGTGCGAAGGAGAACCCTATCCAGGACCCAAGGTCTTCCCTTGAAGCCACAGGCACTCGCAGTGGGCCATAGACGTGCCCTATCCTGATCCGGGCCTGGCAGCGCGATACCCACCCACCACAAGGGCTCTGTCTCTCGCGCTCTCTCTCACTCTGACCCCTACCTAGCCTGGGCGTTGGATCTACTGGAGTGACCTGCAGCCACATCCTCGGCAGTCTGGGAAAGCATGGGCTTCTGGACAGCAACCATCGGGCACGGTTATGGGGGCAGGATGGACGGCGGGAGGTTAGGTTGTTTCCTGGTACTTTCACTGCCACCAGGGCTTTGATTTGGGGGAGTGGGCAGGGGACTCTGAAGCGCTTCCATCCCAAAGCCATAATGAGAATATTCTTCCTCTGTTCTCCATTCTATACAAAATACACTAAATGGTTTTTACTCCAGCCCCACTTGGTAAATAGGATTTGTTTCCCACTCTTGCCCTTATGACCTTTTGCTCTTCACAGTTAACTTATTGACAGCATGACCAAGTGGTTTGAATTGTTTTTAGTTCAAGTCATTGGTTAAAACTACATTTTCAAGAGATGCACAACTTTTAAAGTGAGCTGTCCGGCCACTTTGAAAATTAAATCATCTTTTCAGAGTTCTGGAATCACCCTCAAAACGTTAGCTGTGCATGTGGAGGACAAGATTTATTTTCTTTCCTCCCTTTGCTTAGTAGCCACATCTGGTTTATTCAGCAGCCTATACTAAAAAATTCAGCACCTGCCTATCTCAGAGCTGGTTCCTGAGAACAGAAGTTCCCCCTTGAATCTCCAGATCTGTGAGTTAAGCAGATATTTTTTGGTGCAGATTCACCTTTTATGCAGCTACTGTATTATCAAGTGACTGTTTTCTTGTCCTGATATACTTTTAAGAGATGATAGGGTAATTCTGTATTTTCTAATCAGAATCAGAGAGCTCAATCTGTTATGCTTCCAAACAACTGAATGTAAAACACCTCTAGCCAACTGTTGAATTCCATATGCCTATTGACTTCCAATATCTTCCTATAAAAGTAGGGGAAAATAGTGTGTTAGTGACTATTTCACGTTCTTCCAGGAACATCAGTGTTCCAGAGGGCTGTGATTCCTGATGTGTCCTAGTGGTGTTATCTCATCCCTCTCCTTAAAATAGCAGAGCAAGCACTTGCTTCATCTGATTTGTTTTTGTAGGAAGAGGTAGAAGACATAGATGATCTAGGCTGGAGAATTGGGAATTAACTATACTTCTAGCCATTTTAGGGCACCAAAACTTGGGATGAAACACCTTCCCATTCCCAACTCCAGAAATAAGTTATCTGTTAGATTTATTTTTGTCCTTTTAATAGGCTGAGCAACTTTACCTTGTTTACAAATGTATTGGCACCATTTGCTTCGAGCCATGGAGCACTTTCCCCCTTTTTACTATTTATAGGATTCCATTTTTTCAGGAAGCTTTTCATGAAAACAAACTGTAGAAATAGACATACTGAGATTTGCCTGGCTATTGTCTAAGTCCTTTCAAGGAACTTGCCCATGTGGCAATAGACTTCTGTCTGTAATAAAGGGAAATTTACTATTGGTAGAAAGTGTTTGCTGCCCTTGAGAGAAACTGTGTGACTTACCTCTTTAACCACACTAGGTTACAGCGACCCAGGCTGACAGAGTATTTGTTCCCAGTTCTTAAAATAATAGGGAAAAGCAAGTTCTTGATGTTTTCTTTTTAACAAGAGACGCTTACTCAATGTAACATGCCACTAAAAACGTTTTGTAAAACCTGACACAGGCATAATACCAAGCATTTCCTCCAGGGTTCCAAAAATTGTTATTGTAGCTTCACATTATGGTGTAATTTCAAATGCCTTGGGGGGCAGTATGAAGCAGCTCTTCCATGCTACTCAGTTTGAAAACAAATTCTAGATATGCAAATAATGATTTTTCTTAGGAAACTTCACAAAATGTGTTTTTATAGCACAGTAATGTGTGTAATTATCGGATGGTCACATACTTTTTTAAAAGTGTAGCAAAAAGTTAATTTACAAAGACTTGATAGTAATATGTATTTTACAGTATAATCTGGAGTATGTTAAACTAACCCTGTAGAAACATCCCGGAAATAATGACAGTAATAAAGGAAAAATTATTATGAAAGACTTTACTACCAAAAAAAGTGGTAAAAGTTCTCAATTATAAACAATTTGGAAGGAAAAAACTGAGGTGCTTTTCAAAAGACTAACTGAAGTTGTTCAGACCAAAATAGCAATATGATCTCTTTCTAATTTAGTTCAGTAAGAACAGTGAAATTTTGGTTCACCAATAAACTGAGTAAGTTAATGGGGAAAACAAAATGTAACTTGTTTTAATGAATCAGTACAGAAAGCTCATTAAAAAGACAAAATGTAGTACAGAGATAGCCTTGCACCTCTGTGCATAGTGTTAGTCATTACTGACTTCTTGTGCTGCTACTGTTTCCATGTAGTCCTGCAATATGGATTATGTTTTAATAACAACTGTGGGATAAAAGTTACCTTCCCATAGGAAAGACTAATGAGCACAATGGTATTAATCACTTAATTTTTTTTGTTGAATAATAAATGCAATAATTGCCTCTTGTGGATGAGAAATTGTCTGTCTAAATACTTCTGAAGCTTTTAAATTCTCTAGTTATAGCAGTGGCCTGTTACATCAATGCAGAATATTGTGTACCTGCTTACTACTTTGAGAACTGATTCTTACTAAGCCTTCTATTTATTAATGAAGATGGTGGTAGTACATGCTTTTAGCAACAGAAGTTCTTTGAGCCTTTACTGTAAATAGCTCTTAGTTTCTCCCAAAATACATATCTTTATCCCCCCACCCATTGTCTCCTTGTAGGTGCCTTAATCCTGGCATTTCAGAAGGATTGTCATCATTCTGATTCTGAATCCTGTGCTTCAAAAGAAGCAATATATTGTTAATTCAAACATCTCCCCATTGTTTTCAGCCCTACCCTGAAAACATTGCTACTCCTGTAACTGCAGGTCTAAATTTGGAACTTTGGGTAATGCACACAAGCTGACCCTGGTCATCTCCAGTGCACTGAGGCATCTACTGTCAAAGAAGGAAACCATTTGTTAATGATACTGAATCTTCTAATTCAGTGATGCCTACATTTAAAGATAAAATAAGTGTACTTAGGGCATATAAAGGGTTGTTTGAAATTGTTTAGAGATAAATCTTGATTGTTGCAAAATGGAGAAGGAAAACATTTCCTGCTTTATATTCATTTTGATTACTGCTAAAGGTTCACAGCCTATATTGTTGAACTAAAAGCTATCAGCCTTTTAAAGATTATTACAGTCTAAGAAATAGTATAAACTTAAACTTAGTTTACTAAACTAACTTAACTGGAAGTTTCTTAACTTAGTTTATTCCCTTGAGAGTGATCTTTGAAACAATGAAAACACATCTGAAACTTTGATGTCTAATCATACTATTTTGCTCTAAAGAAAAAAGCCTCTTTTTCACCTAAAGAAAATAGTACAAGAAAATAGAATTACTTTCATCCTAAAAGGAAAGAATCTTAAGACTCATTTTCTTTTGATTTTTGCTTTTCCTGTAGAATTTGTGTAGTTGTAGTTTGGACTGGCAGCATCTTGGGAACCTGTGTTGATGTTGTTCACCACTCTCTCCCCCCAACACACTCAATACAATACACACAATACAAATTGTATTGAACTGTTAAAACGTTACTCCAGCAGTTTTTAATATATAAAACAATTTGCCTTAATCTCCTTAGCAGTTAGGATATTAAAATTAAATGGTTTGCTTTATGAACACTTGAGAACCTTATTTAGGTTTAATCAACTTGTTCATAACCTGAACCAAGCCATCTCAAAAGTATAATGAACCTGTAAGAAATTACTCTCCAGAAGTTACTTTTTGATAAAAAATAATAACTGAAATATCAATAATAATACTCCATAAAGTGTATGTAAGAGATTAGGAGATTTCTCTTTGTATGCCTTATTTTTTGAGCACAGTAGAAAATGAGATGTCTATGGAAAGTGCCTTGAAATTGTTAGAAGAAAGTCTAAAGATACTGGCCTCACAAGTTGAAATGTAGGAGAAAAGCCATGAGGTTGGCCTGAGGAAACTGCTGTGTGGTGTTTGTTCTTATGGTGTATATAGTACCTCTACCTCATCAAGTAAGTCAAGGTACAAGTATGTGACCAATTTGGTTATCATCAAAATGTCTTCAGTCTTATCTTTTTATTTTTTAAATCATTTTAGTTCTTGCTTTGTGTTTACAAAGCAAGTGTAGATTATCCAGGTTGAAGGTGGTCTAAAATCAAAATTTGGCAAGCTGATTGCATATTGTACAAAACTTGGGTGTACTGTATTTTAATATGAAATCTTGTAAGAAAGATTTGTTAAAAACATGTAATTATCAAAATTGGCATTATACTTGTCCAAAGCAAGGATGATGAGAAATGTGAGCCTAATGGGAAATCACCAGTCATGAAAAACTGACACTCAATTTTGGACTCTATTTAGCAGTTCTGAAAAGAGGTATTTTTGAAATGGGAATGGAAGGACATGAAAAGAATTAACTACCTCCATAAATTTCATAATTTCATATTCCAGTGCTGTTAAAGGGGAAAGATGGTTTCTAGGAGTAGCCTGTGACCACCTGCTGTTCTGAAGTACTGACTATCAAAAGCCAAGTCTTTGGAAGTCTTGACAGCAGCAGAAGGGATTTTCACATGTAACTAAACAGTGAATGCTCCAACCTGTTACATTTGTGCAATAAGCAGTGGGTGAATTAAATGATACTTGGGTCCATATTTTAGAGTAAAGATGATTACTTCATGAAGACATGATCTGTTTGCTTCATATGATAGGTGGATAAATATAAAATGATTTTTTGGTAAAATTGTGTTTTAAAATTACTACAGAGGTGAACCTTACAGTATTTTCCTTTGCAACCATTATCTAGTCTCTTGGAGGACTATATTTGCCTAATTTAAATTGCCTTTGAGATTTTCTTAAGGCTAGTTGACACCTAGCTTATTTCACGAGCTGGGTATTTTGATAGTCACTTCTAAACCCACCAGACCTATAGCAGGTAACTGATCCTTCTGTAAAAGAGTACAGTTGAGAAGTGAAGGCTAAAAAGAGTCCTGGGGTAATTCCTTCGGAAACCCATTAATGCTGTCATCAGCAGTGTCTGAGAGCATTTTTGATCTGAAGAGGTGATAGTGCTTTCAAAAAAGTTTTCTGTAGTCATGAAACTAATCCTGGAACCTGAAAGTCATTTCCAACTTGACCACGCCACCACACTTTCCACAAAGCCACATCTTGCCTGAGTTCCAGGGCCTGGTCAGAGTTCTGAAAGCAGTTACAAATGTGTACTCTCCGAGTGGGCACTTGTTTGTAAGTATTTATTTTCCGGAGCCCACTCAGGAGCAGAGAGAAGCTATAGGCTGTTCCAGAGGACGGAACAATGAGTCAAAACAACGCCTCCCCACTTTTACACTAACGCAAGGGGGAAATCCCCAGAATGCTTGCATTTGATTATGAATGGAGATTGCTTTGGAGTGGCAGGTTTGCCACAGGCTGGCAAACAAAACTTGGAGGTCCTGCCTTGGTCAAAGCACTTTAACCCACTGATACTTAGAGATGTTTAATAGTGCCACTGGTGTTGAGTGACTGTGTGATTCCTATCAAGTATTTCACAAATGACTTCTATAGCAAAAATAGTGATGAAAAGTATTTATTTACACTATTGTCATAAGCCATCCATTATTTGAACTTCAGTTAGTGGTTTTTGTGTTAGATCATTTATTTTTCCACAACTATTAAGAGCTAATAACCAAACAAATCAGCTCGGTAACATTATTTACATTCTCATCTGAAATTTGACTACAAAGGTAACACTTTTAAGTCACAAAACAGAGCATACAAAAATATACTTTCTAAAAAAAAATTCCAAATATTAATAGGCAGAAATATACAGCCATACTTAACCCAGGGAGTGAATTTTTTTTTCCATAGTAAGGCAACCCGTTTACATGCAGACCCTGTAACATTGTCTACATCACACAAGGCACCAAGGACACTTCCGACACAATTGCATGCATTTTAGTTTTAGAGAATATATGTACATCCCTCTTTAAATAAGTTAATCTCTGACTCATTTCAAGAGATCATAAAAGCTTTACGTTTTTTTCCCAAAGGTTCAGAACTTGGAGAACAGTGTACATCAAAAATACACAAAATCTGAGTGGATATACACTGAAAAAATAGTCTACATTTTTCAACTCAAAAAGGAGCAGATATTGCTATGTCCCTCCCATCACATTGCACTTCTGTTCTCTGAGTTTATAATACATATTGCTTAAAGGGTTGAGATGACTAGATAAGCTTTGATTGGCTGTTCTAGGGCCACTAAATGTGGGTTATAGGCGGCGGCAGCGACTGCTGCGGAACTGCTGCCATGCTTTGCTCACTGTACAGCATCCCCCAAATCAGTCCCAAGCCATAAAGTGCACATCAGTTTTGCTTGTCTTCTTGCTGTCCCCACTTGAAAAGATCAGCATCTCTCAACCTACCGTAGAAAAAGTCTCAGATCAACTCTTTGACATCCAGGATCAAAAACATGTCATGGGTCAAAATAAAGGGAAAGGGGAGCAAGACCCTTCTAGTCAAAGAACCCTTTAAAGCAGAGTTGGACCTCAGCCCTCAAGGCCAGGGGTCCACATCCAAGCCCCTCCTGAGCCTCCCCATTGCCTTGGGGTGATAGTCAACTAGGGAGTACTAAGATAGGCTAAATTTTAGGAAGGACTCACTTCTAAGAGGAAAGAGGAGCAGGGTTGGGCTCCACCAAGCCCTATGCCCAACAAAGGAGGGGAGGAGCAGGGAAAGGTGGTAGTGTTTGTCATGCAGCTGGAATGGACAAAGAGCCTCCAGGGCTGGAGGAACTGAGTTGTCAGCTTCAGTCTCATCTCAAGGTGTCCGGGTCCGAGAAGAACAAGGGGCCAGTGGCCCTCCGCCAATAGTGCTGTTGTTGCTGCTGCACAGACTGCCCCCAGCCTGTGAGCCCCCAGTGCAGGAGGCCGTGGAGGGGGCTGGCACCGATGAGGAGGGGGCACTGCTTTTCCGTTCTTTCTGTCTCAGGTGGATCTTGGTGTGGCGCTTCCTTTCATCACTCCGGGCAAACTTTCGGCCACAGTAGTCACAGGCAAAGGGCTTCTCGCCAGTATGGGTGCGGATGTGCGTGGTGAGGTGGTCACTTCGGCTGAAGTTTCGCATGCAAATCCGACACTGGAAGGGCTTATGCCCAGTATGGATTCTGATGTGCCTTGTCAACTCATCAGAACGGGAGAACCGCCTGTCACACCCTTCTGCTGGGCATGGGTAAGGCCTCTCATGCACTGGTGTCTTGCTTGGTCTGTTAGGGTACTTGCGAGGCCTCAGGATGGGCCGAAGTGGCAGGTGATGTGGGTTATAGGCGGCAGCAGCGATTGCTGCGGAACTGCTGCCAGGCAGCCGGGGTCCCTCGTTGCCTCCAGTGGCCCCTGGTCCTGTGACCCCAGAACTGGGGCCCCCCAGAGTAAAGTTACGGATGGTAGAGAGTGG